ATGGGTTCAAATGGGTTTTAAAAATGTTCAAATGAATGCTGTTTCCTGAATCTTTTTTATTAGGGAAGTTCCCTACAAACCTAACCTATAAAACATAAATGTACCATTTTAAATTGTTTTGAACAAGATATACATAATCGTATATCTTTAATCGTGGTTTTGACAAGTGTAAATATTATAATAATATAATAATGTATTATTATATAATATATTCCCATCTTCATTTTACGGTTGGTCACTCTTGACTGTCGAAGTAAAATTAATTTATGAGTTTATAATTAATTAAGAAATGTAAAATTATAATATTTAATGTTTTTGCTTACATTTTTATTGTTACTAAAAAGTAATAAAAAGTAAATATGCAGTTTGAAGTTTGTTATTTTTTCGTTTGTTGGTTTTTTTTTACTGGGTTTTTTTTCTGGGTTTTTTACTGGTTTTTATTTGCTGGGCCCAACCCATTAAGACCCAGTGGGTTTTAATGGGTTGGGTCCAGTACTTAGAACCCTGGCTATACTAGCACTGCGATTGACGACGGCGGGTCGGGTGGCAACATTTTCGAATTTCGTTCTCGATACTAGCGCTGCGATCGACGACGGCGGGTCGGGTGGCAACATTTTCGAATTTCGATCGAAACCACTCCCGAGGGACTATGTATGTTGAATTTGTCCCCGTCATGAAGTCGTGAAGTCAGGGAAAATTAAAAATGACCGACTCACGGTAACAATATTCGGGAATTTCGATGATTGAACTAGGGTATTCATTTTTTTTGTCCCTCTCATGAGGTCTCTGAAGAAATATTTCGAGGCGGTTGCAGGCCGTCGATGAAATTATAAAATTCGAACACCGACTCACGGGGACAAAATTTGAGAATTCGAGGATGTGTCCCGAAGATAAAATATTTCGCCGCGTAGTGGTTCGGCAGCTGAAATTGAAAAATTAAAACCGGTAGACCATCGTCAATCCCGAATACTCTCGAAAAAATATTACAACTCCACGCGTAGCGGTACACCACCGTCAATCCCAAATTCTCTCGAAAAAATATTACAAGTCCGCGCGTCATGACCGTCTCACGGGGTATCAAAGGGAAACCGGTGGCATTCTTGGCGAAAGAATTAATAATGTTCCCTGGAGAAGCATTCCCCTGGGGAAGAGTCAAATGACACATTGTTCTACAGGTTCGACAATCTGACTTTCCCGGAGTCCATGTCGGGTTCAGTAGACTTTCAACACTTTCCCGGTATTGACATACTGGTTCGGGAAACTTGACTCCCTCGCAAGGACAATTGTCCTCGGCCCGTGAAGAACTCTTATGGAATTACTGCTTAACTAATGTAGAATGAAGTACGCGGTTTCCGGGGTTGGACTAAGTGAACATAAAACCTCTCTCCCTAGAAAGTCAAAATCCGCAAACTTCAATTTCGGGAATTTACGCTTGACATTGTCCTTATGAAATGGACTTCGAGACCGACACACGAGGGACCCGAGCACCCTCATGGTGATTCGGACAACCTCAACAGGGTCTTCTTTCCCCGCTGATTTTTCCAAGCCCGTTCCCTTGGCTGTGGTTTCGCTAGATAGTATATAGGGACATTGATTAACCGGCTGTGTGACGGGGGTAAGCGACGCCAGTACACGGCGGTCTCTCAAACCTTTAGCCATCTTTACCGGATCTTTAACCTCCGTCGTCGCCGCGGCCGCGTGTGCACGAAACCGTACGCTCGGCTGTGGTTTCGCTAGATACCCGACCCGGGTGGCCCCCGGCCTGAGTGCCTACGACTCCCACGTCTGGGGCGCCCGTCCGACTTAACCTAACCCGCACACGTCGTCGAAACGCTGTCCGTGCCCCCCGCGCCAAATTTAGCGAAATTTGGGCTTGAATATCGCCATCGCCGTGCGTAGCGGTTAGGCGAAAATCAAAAATCCGTCTATCACCGTGCGTAGTGGGACGGCCGCGGATTTTCTCTACATAGGGACAGGTCGTCCGAGGTTTGTTGGCATACGCCGTTACAACTGTGTACCTTGTATTAGCACTAGGCGCTATTTAAGAGCCACAGAGGTTCAGGCAGAGCTAATCTTACCCGGGTCGCCGTATGGGCCACCAGCACCGGATCGAAATCCGTACCTTTCTGAGTCCGGTCGGCTTGCGCCTTAGGGTCCTTTCTCCCACTAAGGTAGAGTGGATTGTTACTATCATAGCGCTTGTCCCACAACCACCGCGTTTCAGCCGAGGTAGGCTCCTCAACCTTGATGGGCATCTCCGACGGGCCGGCGAGCCGATCCGACTTCGATGGGGCTCCCATCTCCCGCGGTACCGACTGGGTTTAAAGTTGACGTCGGTGGGTCAACTCGAAGCGTTTCCACTTCTCCCACTATTTTGGCTTCCCAGGCCGGCTAGTGGTTGGCCTTTTGTATGGTCTGGGCCACCACCCCCCATTTTAGGACTGGGTTGTCCTATCCATTTAGTCGCCTTTTACGATCAAGCTGGATAAGACTGTTGCCGCAATTCTTTTCCCCGGCAACATGGGGAAGCGTTCTCTCTTTTGGTTTCCCTATTTTGCATTCGTTCTGTTATTCTTATTCCCTAGGTAACACCTGATTTCTCTATGAGCGTGGTATTAGCGAAACTCACAAACGCATCATAGATCCTTCTTGTTTTGATCAGCACATCAGGTTGGCATGGCCAGTTCTCTCCTTCACTTAGTATTGCCTCTACCAGATGTTCTCTTTGTAGCATCCACCTGTTGCAGTGAAATATGGAGTGTTCTGGGTCATCTGTTCCTTGCCCACATGCGCAGTTCGGAGTATTCTTCAAACCCAGCTTTGATAATTTTGCAGCAAAGTCCCCATGTCCCGAGAGGTATTGTGTTATATAATGATTGAGATATAATGGTGTATCTAGTCTTGTTCTTATATTTGGTATGATCCTCCTTGTCCATTCACCTTTCCTAGAGATTGACCATCTATCCTGCCATATTTGTATAATGTTGTCCTTCAACTCTTCTTGTGCTTCCAGCGTAATTTTGCCTCTTCTATATTCTTGTTTCGTTCCTTCCCAAATAATTTGTAGGTCTAGAGGTAGGAGTCCCGTTATTACTTGCAGTGCATCCGTTGATGTAGTGTTGTACGCTCCTGATACCGCTAATAGTGGTGTTCTCTGACTTCTTATCATCTTTTCTCTCGTCGTCTTATTCCAGTCTTGCATCCATATGCATGCTGCATAAGTAACCCTTGGATGTAAATGGCCCGATATAGTATTACAGCCGTTTCGAATGATAATCCCATTATTCCTCTTAACCTGCTGAATTCTACCGTGCTTTTTTCAACTATGTTCGTTGCTTGCGTTTTATATTTTAGTTCTTGATCTATTTCAACGACTAGGTATTTTAATTTCTCTACCGTTTTTATCCTTCCATCTCCAAACTTGAGATAGAATCCAGGCGCCAATATGCCATTAAGGACCATTCCCATTGTTTTTGACATGGAGAAGGATAATTCATATCTGTTAGCCCAGATGCATAGATCCTCAATGTGCGCTTCAGTTCTGCTTACCAATTCTTTCCTGGTATTGCCTGCAATTAGCGCTACTATCTCATCTGCATAAGCGACCCTGTGTGTATGTTCTTCTCTTTCCGTTGCTAGAATCTGGTTGACTGTTATATTCCATAGTGATGGCCCGAATCCTGATCCTTGTGGGCATCCTTTCGTGAGTGTCTTAGTTACAGTTGTGTTGTCTAATTTTATTTTAGCCGTTCTATTACACAGATAACTTTCTGTTATTTTTATTGTTGCTATAGATGCTCCCAAGTTTGTCATGTCTTGGATCAAAGGTTCCCATCTTACATTGTCAAAAGCTCCACTGATGTCCAAGAAAACTCCCATGACATATGTTTCTTCTCTTAAGTTTACCCATTCAATGACCTCGCTAATCGCAGTTAGTGTTGATCTGCCTTTCTTAAATCCGTGTTGTCCATTTGCCATGTTTGTTTCTGTCTCGTCATTTAGCCTCGTACACACAAGGTGTTCTAGACTTTTTCCTAGTACTGGTAGTAAACTCACTGGCCTGAATGATTTTGGGTCCTCCCTTTTCTTATCTTTTCCTTTCAATATGGTAACTATATCAGCATTTCTCCATATTTTTGGAAAATATGCATTTCGTAGCAGGTCATTGAATAAGTTTGTTATTAAATCCCCCATTATCGGCCATGCTTTGCGCAGGATCATGGCGTTGATACCATCTTCTCCTGGGGCCTTTTTGGTCGACATTCTCCATATCGAGTTTTTGACTTCCTCTTTATTGGTCATGCTATAGTCCGATTGTTCCCTATATGGGGGTTCTTCCTGTTCGGATCCTGTATCCACAGTTGGGATGAGTGTGTCCAGCAGATACTTCAGTGTTTCCTCAAGTGTCTTCGTGTATTCTCCGTCCTGCCTCTTGAGCACTGATGGTGCTTCTCTGTTTGCCGAGCCCTTCTTAATCCATCGGAAACATTTGCCCCATGTGTTGTCATTTATTTCACTTGCAAATTTTCTCCATGAAAGCTTCTTTTCTATTCTCAATGTTTTGACACACTGATTTCTCTCTCTATTGTATTCTGCTCTACGTTGTTGTTTACCCTCCTCATCTCCTTCTATTTTCCTGTATGCTGCTCGCATTATTTTCTTTTTGCTTTCCAATTCATTGGTCCACCATGGTGGTACGACTTTCCTCTTTTGTTTTTGTTTAGGTATAGCCTTATCTGATGCTCTTGTTATTGCCTGCATTATTGACTCTGTTCTTGATTCCAGATTACTATCTTGGTTATCTATGAGTTGTGTTTGCATAGCAAGTTCTCTATTGAATTTTTCCCAGTCAGCTTTCTTTGTAACATAGCGCTTTTTTATTATCAGTTTCGAGAATGTTGTTCCTTCTCCGATCTCATAATAGATTAACCTGTGGTCACTTGTTATTATCCCGTCTAGCACGCTCCAATTTTTTACCTTTGCTGATAAGTCTGGTGTTGTTAGTGTGACGTCAATGTTGTTCTCCCCTCTCGGTCCAGAAAACGTGTATGGTTGTCCTTGTTTATCAGTACCAGCTGTTCATTATCAATGAATTCTTCTACCAATTTCCCCTTATTATTTGTCTTCTTGCTTCCCCATCTTGTGGAAAAAGCATTTATGTCTCCCCCTATGATTGTGCGATGACCACATTTTTGTTTTAGCCTTTGTAGTGTTTCTAACATTTCTGATGTTGGTTTTCTGAACTTGAAATAGGCCGAAATGAGATTAATATCTTCCTCGTCTCCTAATTTGATTGTTGCTACCGCAAAGTTTTCGCAGGTTAAGTCGTTCCTAGCAAGCACCGTTAGTGCTGGATTGAATATCACTATAGCCGCTCCGTGTAATATATTATGTCCTCCTTCTTGTTTGGTGCCTGGTGATATGATTATCCTGAATGGTGCTGTCTCTAGGCCCGTTATCCTTCCATACCTTGCGTATGGTTCTTGTAATAGAGCTAAATCTAAACCTTCTTTTTGCGCGTATTCCAGTAGGTCATTATTTGCCGTGGCTGTTCTTGCCATATTTATTTGTGCTATCTTCAGTTTGTATTCCCTTTTTGTTGTCCCCCCCTTTACTTGTTGAGGTAGAATTATTCTCCATCATTGCTGCTTATAGTCCGTCCTCTTAACAACCCTGTTGATGGCTGCTAATCTTGCCCTACAGTTACGGTCGGTAGCCTCGTGAGACTCTCTGCAGTTCGCACATCGCGGATGGTCACTCTGCGAGTTGCATACATCCTTCTTATGTCCTTCGTCTCCGCAGTAGGAGCACACTACCCTTTTATTTCTGCAGTCCGCTTGCTTATGTCCGAATTTACAGCACCCAAAGCACTGTGTCACGTCGAAGTATTCAGTTATTTTGCATTTTGTTAATCCTA